GACGAAAATTTTAAATTAAAAATAAAAATGTCAATTTTAAATTATTAAATGTAGAAGTCATTAATAGAAATATAATTTAATTATAAAAAAAATTATTAGATTCATTTTTATAAAACAAAATGTGAAGATTAAAACGTTTGTTTAAATAATTTTTTTATATAAAATAGCTTATATCGATCGAATTATTATGTTGGCAATTATTAATTTTATTATGATTTGTTGTTACATCCAACCACGTCACATATAGCATACACATTAAAAATACAAGTCTATGTAGGTTTATACAACAATGATAAAATAACAATATGATTGAATTTTTACATGATTGTAAAAGTCTATCACGATATAGAGCTAAAAAAAATATACGATCAAAAACATGCATTAATCTAATAAATCTCTCGGTTGCCTGAATCATGAAAGAAGTAAAGTGAGTCTTATGCGCATAAAAATGAAGAAGAGTATACTGTACGGTACCTCAAATACTCTTGCAACTTTCTAAGCCAATAAAGATCATCGGCTTTGTTAAGGAAGGCGTTAGGTTTCACATTTGTGGGCCACTGTATCGACATATTCAATGATGGTGGGTATTTGTCTGTTTCATGCCGTTCATACCAATCAAAGTCTATTAACATTGCTCGTTGCGTTCCATGCTGATTATACACCAGAATGTTTGGAAGACGAAGATCTGCAAATACAGTTATTTTTATGTAAATTAATAGCAAATTTTATATCGTCATAAATAGAATTTTGACGCATAATCTCGATTTTATTAAATTTCTTATCCAGTGAGGTGCTGACATGTTCCATAATAATCATCTTATATCCGCCAAGAGCTCGGATTTCATTATTGGCGCTACAATATAACAGTTCCAGAGCATAACCTTTACTATGGCAGATATCATGTGCATTTCTATTGTATTCAGTCACAAATTTCACGACAATCATTTTATTATTATCTGTACTGGCTTTCCAGATAGTTCTTGTGTGATCATTTGCAAGCTCCTCAGTGTAGGTGAAATTGACTGTTTTTCCGTTGATTGGAAAACTTCGAAGATAGGGAAAATACTGCTGTCCTGTTTGATTTAATTCCAACCCCTGGTAAAAAATGCTAAGCTGTTCAAAGGCAAGTCGTAACGCCTAAAAAAGTCGAGCAATCCGATTTACTTGGTCTTTATTTCGAAGGTCAATTGTAAGAGGAATGGAATCTGTTAGCGGCTGGACTACTACCCTGTTAAGGAAAACTCCTCTGAAAACACAAAACCATGGTCTGGCAATGGTGATAATAAAGGATGGTGCGCAACAGCAGTCTCGAATCTGGTCAGCCTAATTAGAAGGTATCACATGAGCACATGAATTTGCATATCACTAGTTATGGGATAAAAATTAAACATACTGATGATTGAGACCAATAATTTCGGTAATATATTGCTTCTTGAACACTGGGATCAGTTCCACCAGATCCAACTTCATTCTTTCCTTCGAATATTACCATAATAGCGTCGTGAATGCCTACTTTAGTCGTAAGTATTCCATCACTCTTACAACCTTTTCTTTCGTAACTAATCACTGAAATGGTGCCAAATTTTTTTGAAAGTATCTCTCTCATTGTATCCATACGTTCGTCTTCAATGGTGTATCTATCTGTTACTGCGGAAATAATATCTATGACCCACTCCATAATATCGGAAGGCACTACCAAATCCGCATTCCTAAAGTCTTCAAGGAATTGACCAAAGGTTCTATTGTGAATAGTAATAGGAGGACCAGTATGTTCAAGTGGTCGACCATTAAGGATTGGATTCTTTTGTTGATTTGAGAAGAAGTTAGAAGGCTTGGCACTAGTCGAAGGAGGGTTTGCTTTAAGACCAAGATTAACAGTTTCCTTGTATTCTATAATGAAGAAAAGAAATAAGCCATTGATTTCAACTTTGATATCTTGAAAATAAAAAGGTAACCTTTTTCGCGCTTTAGTTGTTTAAATTTCGTCTCTGAGAGTGGAACCAAAAGACCAAGTTCTTCGACTGGAGGTGCTGGAAATAAATGAGATGTCAATGGTTGGGTGATCGCTTACAGATATAGTACACTTACTATAACCAAGCTCATAACCAAGTTTTACACAAAGCGCTGCCAGCTTTGCTCTCAATTCTTCTATTTCTTGATTCCGTGATGCAAGACACAAGTTAGAAACTGAAATGACAGTGATACAGCGCAGATAACACTGACTCACTTACCGGTTGCATCTACGATAACGCAAATAGATTTTTTGGTCAGCGTTTGATGATAAGCAAGAAAAGAAGCACAAGGTTAAGTTAGTACTCGGTATTTCTGACAGAGAAAACAAAATTATGCTATATCACATTGTCTAAAAATTTTACCTACCAGTATCGGAAGTTCTAACTACAACTCGAACGTTATTTCCTTGAACGCCATGAAAAGCTTCTCCAATTTTTTGTGCTGCATCTTCTAATTCTTTATTTAATATTTCAGAAGTAATTTGAGCTGCGTTAACTCTCCACAACCTGAGTCTATCAACATCGACCCCAGAAAAGCCATCCTGTTTAATTTCTTTAATAGCTTTCTTGAGATCGAAAATGTCATTTCCGTCTCCAATATCGACTTAAATTTAGAATTATATCGATGATCAAAACACCAAAGTGTAATTTGTGTACCAAGAATTGCAACAGGCATTGCTAAACAAGATAGGGAAAGATTAAGGGCGATACAATAACAATAGCCATGCAAATCGTAATGTGTTTGTGTAACAGTAATTGAAAATTGTCTTCATAGTTAACCGTTAAACTTTTTAATATATACTGCTTATACAAATTATGTAATTGATAGAATGTTAACAATTCACCACTTTAAAAAATTTTTTTTTTCTTTGCAATTACAAGAAGTTTCATCCTAAAAAGCTTCTTTTTTTAAGATCTTAAAAGTTGAAAAGAAAGTATGAGGTGATTAATTTTGATTGGCTCAAATTTTTTATTATTAAATTGAATATAATGGATTATTATATTAAATATATCAATAATAATTATTAATTATATATATTTATTATTTGAAATTAATAAATATAATTAATTTTTCATAAAAATTTCAAGTACTATTTCAAATTAATTTGCAATTTCAGAATCAAACAATATTTGCTTTGATAATTCTTTAGGTTCATTATTATTTAATTATATTTTAACTTCTTGATCAATTTCAATTTTAAAATTTTCTTCTGTGATTCTACAATAATAGATTTTACATTATTATCAATTTTATTTTTAATATATTTTAAAGAATATAAATAATATACTCAAGATATTATAAATAATATTGATGATAAATATGCTAATGAATATTAAAGCTTAATAAAAGTTATGATATTTGTAATAAACAATTTATATTTTGAAAATAATGGAAATATAGAAAATTTTGTTAATAATAGTAATCTTGTAAAATTATATAAAAATTAGAATAAAATGTATATTTTAAGTAGATTTGACAAGTTTAGTGAAAGTGATTTAACAAATTCAAAGTAAGTAAAGTTATTCCAAAAAATTTGTGCATTTAAAATTTATTATTTAAATTATTAAATTTCAGGATGCAATATTTATGTGAACCTAAAGATTTATATAGACTTTTAAATTAATTTCACATTTTGAACTAAAATTACCAAAGTTACATTTATGGTTATATCATATTATTAATTCAATACAAATATATATGAAACAATAAATGGCTATATAATAAAAACTTATAAAAGCCTTTATAAAAATTTTGTTTAAATACTCTATCGTCTTAATAATAAAAAATATTAAATCTCAGTATTTACATATTATAGTGAACTCTTAATATAACGAATTATAGGATCTGGATATCAACTTCGTTATAAGCTTATAATGAATTTTTTAAAGAATTTAATTGGCTGGTTCACTATAGTAAGGTAATTTTAATATATTTGATTTAAAAATTTGCTATATCAAGAGTTCGCTATATCAAGGTTTGA